CAATTCTAAATGGTGTGGGTGAGGGGGAGCGGAGTGTAGTTGTTCAGGAGCTGAGGGACCTGGATGTGTATATTACAAACCACTGAAGCTGGAAGGACAGGTTAAGCAAAAACCGTTAATTAAGCATTTGGGATACATGGGTTTGATAAATAGGGACACAGAGCACAAAAGCAAGGAAGTTACATTAAACACTGATAATTAAATCAACCTCACCTGAGTATTGAGCCCAATTCTGGGTATTACACTTCAGGAAAGCTGTGCAGGCATGAGAGGGTGTAAGAAAAGACTCAAGAGAATGGTTCCAAGGCTAAGGAACTTCAGTTATGTTTACAGTTTGTAGAGACTGGAAATGTTGTCCATTGCAAAGAGAAACTGGGCTTAAGTTCTCCTCAGAGAAGGTTAAGAGGAGATCTGATGGAAGAATTCAAACTCATTAAGTGTTTATATAGAGTTGATCAGGAAATACTTTTTGCATCAAATGAAGGATCAACCAGACAGCACAGATTTAAGTTTTATTTTAAAAAAAGATGATAGTATAAGGTAGGGGTGGAAGTTAGATAGACCTTAGGTTTAGGGTAAAAGTTTGGCACAACATTGTGGGCCGAAGGGCTATAATGTGCTGTACTGTTCTATTTTCCATGTACCTCTGTTACAACTTTTCTTCATAAAACGAAAACCAGGACGAAACATACCTCTTAAAGTCGTAGTATTGTCACAATAGCAAACCGCCCTACCACATGAATGGAACTAATCCCCTGAACTAAAAATAAAACCTGATTCTTCTGCGAAGATGAAACTGTTTTTCCACTTAACATAATACTGAAACCCGAACTCAAACTGAACTACCAACGTGCTCTGATCATTTATCTGTGTTTTTTCTTCTATATGTCAAAAATTTAACACTTGGTCAATTAACATCACAGGTGTTTGCCATGGCACTTTGTGAGTTAGATGTTTTCTTGGAAATGGTGCATTTAGGTCACTTTTCCAAATGACTGTCTGACCTCATTAAACAAAATTACCTGTACAGAACTGAAACCAAAATTCATCAATCTCTGTTTTAAAAATATTTTATATCTCTATTACAATGGCTTTCAGTTGGTTCGGTGTTTCCTCATACACAAGTAGAATAAGGTTAATGTGCAGGTGTAGGAAAGATGTTGTGAAACTTGAAAGGGTTCAGAAAAGATTTACGAGGATGTTGCCAGGGTTGGAGGGTTTGAGCTACAGGGAGAGTCTGAATAGGCTGGGGCAACATTCTCTGGAGTGTCATAGTCTGATGGATGACCTTATAGAGGTTTATAAAATCATGAGGGGCATGGATAAGGTGAATAGCCAATGTAAATAGTTGTGGTCCCAACACTGATCCCTGCAGAACTCCGCTAGTCACTGACTGCCATTCTGAAAAAGACCCCTTTATCCCCACTCCCTGCCTTCTGCTAGTCAGCCAATCGTCTATCCATGCTAGTACTTTGCACTTAACACCCTGGGCTCATATCTTATTTTTAGCAGCCTCCTTTGCGGCACCTTGTCAAAGACTTTCTGGAAATCCAAATAGATCACATCCACTGGCTCTCCCTTGTCTAACTTATTCATTACCTCAAAGAATTCCAACAGATTTGTCCAACATGACTCTTCCCTATTTTACCATGCACTTCCAAGTACTCTGCAAACTCATCCTTAATAATGGGCTCTAAAATCTTACAACGATTTGAGGTCAGGCTAACCAACTTACAGTTTCCTGTTTTTTGCCTCCATCCCTTCTTAAACATAGGCATTACATTAACCATTTCCAGTTCCCTGGGGCTCTCCCTGACTCGTGATTCCTGGAAAATCACTATAAATGCCTCTGCAATCTCCGCAGCGATCTCCTTCTGAACTCTGGGGTGTAGTCCATCAGGTCTGGGTAATTTATCCACCTTCAAAACTTACAGCTTCCCCAGCACCTTCTTCTTAATGATGGCTACTGCACTCACTCTCTCCCTGACTCTCTTGAACTTCTGGTGTGCTGCTGGGATTTTCCCTGTAAAGTCTGATGTAAAGTATCTATTCAGTTCCTCAGCCATTTCTTTGTTCCCCATTACTACTTCCCCAGCCTCATTTTGCAGCTGTCCAATATCCACTCTTGCCTCTCTCGTATCTTTTATATATCTAAAAGAATCCTGTAATCTACTTTTATATTAATAGCTAGTATAGCCTCATATTTCATCTTCTCTCCCACTAATTGCTTTTTTAGTTATCATCTGCTGCGTTCTAAAGGCTTCCCAATTCCCTGGCTTCCCACTGATCTTCACCACATTAAATGTTTTTTCTTTTGCTCTTATGCTGCCCCTGACTTCCCTTGTCAGCCTTGGTTAACTTGTCCTCCCCTTAGTATGTTTCTTCTTTCTGGGGAAGAATTTCTGCTGTGCCTCCCGAATTAACCCCAGAAACACCTGCCATTGCTGATCCACTGTCTTCCCTGCTAGGCTCCCCTTCCAATTAACTCTGGCCATGTCTTTGTAGCTACCCTTTACTCAATTTTAGTACCGATACATCTGATTCTACCTTCTCCCCATCAAACTGCAGGGTGAATTCTACCACATTGTAGTGACTGTCCCCTAGGGCTTCCTTCACGTTGAGCTCCTTAATCAAGGCTGCGTCCTTACACATCACCAAATCCAGAACTGCCTGTTCCCTAGTGGGCTGCACCACAAGCTGCTCCAAAAAAAACCATCTCGCAGACACTCCACAAATTCCTTTCCTTGGGATCCACTATCAATCTGATTTTCCCAGCCCACATGCATATTGTTGTACCCCCATGATTACTGTAATAGTGCCTTTCTTTCATGCCTCTTTTATCTCCTGATTAAATTCCTGTCCCAAAACCCTGAGCTGCTGCTAGGAGGTCTCACACATATAACTCCCACCAAGATAACAAGGTGTAGAGCTGGATGAACACAGCAGGCCAGGCAGCATCAGAGGAGCAGGAAGGCTGACGTTTCGGGTCTGCACCCTTCTTCAGAAATGGGGGAGGGGAAGGGGACTCAAATAAATAGAGAGAGAGGGGGAGGCGATGACAGAAGATGGATAAAGGAGCAAATAGGTGGAGAGAAGACGGACAGGTCAAGGAGGTGGGGATGGAGCCAGTAAAGGTGAG